ATGCTGCCATTTTCAGAAATGCAGAATGCTGGAAGAAGAGAGTTCCTCTGTCAAATGCGAGGTTTGATTCGAGCACCGGAGGCAAAGCCTTGATAAAAGTAAGGAAAGATTACTTCTCTTCTTCAAGTCCAGGTTCAAAGAAAAAGGAAAAATCAACATTCATATACATTTTATCAGCACAATTAGGTAGGTCAGCCTTTCTTAATCTGATCTTTCTGCTAGCAACCTGCATTTTCTTCTACCGCTTGAACCGAAAGAAGCTGAAAGTAGTTCCTCCAAGAAAGGCATGCCAGCCATAAACCTGCGGAGTTTCACTTACAAAGAACTAGTGAAAGTTACAGGGGAATTCAAGGAAAAGCTTGGCAGCGGTGCTTTTGGAACTGTTTACAAAGGAGTTCTAACAAGTGACAACCAAAACTTGGTCGCAGTCAAGACGTTGAACACGATAGTGGGTCACGGTGAAGAATTTACAGCTGAAATTTCTGCGCTTGGGCTAACGAACCACAAGAATTTAGTGCAGCTGCTGGGACTCTGCAACGAGGGGCAACACCGCCTTCTTGTGTATGAATGAATATATGAGCAATGGTTCTTTCGCAAACTTTCTGTTTGAGAACTCAAAACCCAATTGGTACAGAAGGATGCAGGTTGCTTCTAGAACTGCCAATGGGTTGCTTTACTTGCAAGAAGAGGGAATCAATCCAATCATTCATTGCGATATCAAGCCTCAAAATATTCTCCTAGACGACTTTCTCACAGCACGAATTTCGGATTTCGGATTGGCCAAGCTGTTGAAGGTTGACCAGACTCACACCACAACTAAAATAAGAGGAACCAAAGGGTATGTTGCCCCGGAATGGTTCAAAAACTTCCCATCACATCTAAAGTGGATGTATATAGCTTTGGAATTCTACTGCTCGAGCTTGTTTGCTGCAGAAGGAAATTTGACACCAATGCCGTGGAGTAATGTCAAAAAGTACTTGCAGATTGGGCATATGACTGCTTTAAAGAAGGGAAATTGGACTTGTTAGTGGAGAATGATAAGGAGGCAATGGAAGACATGAAGAGGGTAGAAAAGTTTGTGCTGATTGCAATCTGGTGCATACAGGAGGTTCCATCACTGAGGCCTTCCATGAAGAAAGTTTCTCAGATGATGGAAGGAACAGTTGAAGTCTCTATTCCGCCAGATCCATCCTCAATTTTCAGTTCTATATAATCAGTGTTTCAATTTGTGCTCATTTTATCAAGTCATTTTGCGTGTTTAGCTATCAATAATATTGATCTGTAAGCGAGATAAGGCAAGCAATATTTTTCTAATTAATTTCCAGGCAAGTCTCAATACTTCGAATAACAGTATCTTATAGGAAGTAAATCTCAATTCTGATCTGTGTATATATACCATGTGTCTTTCTATTCGGAACTGTTTTCTTTTAACAAAATATCATTCTTTCGCATAAAAAACTTGATTTTAGAGTACATATCGATATATAAATTGCTACATTTAGTTAAGCTTAATTAACGGCAAATTGCTCACCTTAGACCTCATGGAAGCTCGCACACAAATGAAACACTAGCACTGGGTGAGAGCAAGTGGTTCTGCAAAGTTAGTTTAAGTTTCTTACTTTGAAGGGCCATGGACATGGGGCAACAGGTATTTCGTTAACTCCTTCGAGCGTGTGCATGACTGACAGGAATGGATCTAAACCTTGGGTCAAGGGCCTAGGTGGTTGGGTAGACTTTCCAATGTGGAATCCTAACACCACCACGCTTCTGTGGCCAACGTCTATGTCGGCCTCTTTACCCCTTGGGTGACTTCGTATCCACGTCGGTATCTTTACCCCTTGGGTGACTTTATGGATCCCTTTTTTTTTTTTTTTACTCCGGCCAATCCACCCCTTTCCATCGCGGTACTAGCCCAGGCCCAAGGTCAGCCTGCCACGTAGGTGTGTTCACGTCAGCCTCTTTATCCCTTGGGTGACTTCGTGGATTCCCAAGGGTAGCAGCCCGTAATTTCTCAAATGGCTCATTGACTTGTTTTCTTTTTTTTCTTGATTCTGCTGCCACGTTTAGCCACTGCCCAAAACAATGGCACTGTTCACAAAAATTACGTATATACAACTAGATGAACATGCTTAAATAATAGAAGAAACATATAATCAGGGAAAGTTAAAATTGGATCAGATTGCTGCAAAGAAAGGGGTGGACTCTTCAAGCTAGGGAGCCAAAACTTCATATCTGGTGGCAAGTTAAGAAGCTGAAGTTAACTATCGGATACATGAAGTGTTAAGAATTAGAGAAACTTAAAGTCTTTTAATGCATTCAGATTAGTAGAGCTGCTAACTCCTATTAACTCCTAACGCTGATAGCTTAGGATTAAGATGAGTATGAAATTGTAACTTAAAATCTTGACTTGATATCAATTGTAATACAAAGTCAACTAAGTATAATGTTTTTCCTTTAGATTTCAACCACTAAATCAAATAGGGTAAGTCAAATTTGTAAAGTGCTGGTGACAGGTCATCAAATTCTATTTCTTAAATAAGAATTTAATCTCAATTTTTGTCCTGCATTAGGAAATGAGGAGCTGGAGGAATGATATTGAGTACCTTCACTGATTTTGATAAGAGCCTTGCCGTTAAGAGTATTACCAAATCTCCCATTTGACAGTGGCGGCTTCGCCTTCCAACACGTATCTCTGGATCAAAAAATAGCAACAGCACACACACAAACCTGCAAGAAGGATTCTCTACACTGCTCTTCAGTCAAACGCTGCAAAAGGGCATAATCTGATGTTGGCCAATCAGAGTTTATGACCTCTTCAAAATCATATAAATCTGCTGGAGAACCCTCTTCATCATCTGCACAGCTCTGTATGAAGCTGGGTTTGCAGTCACTATACCGATTATTTGGGTCAGATAAAAAGTACCCTTTTGGACACTCACAGATTGGCCTTTTGTCTCCAGGGTTCAGTCTACAAAAGCTGTTAAACCCACAAGAGCCACAACCAACTGCAGTAAAACTTGCATAGCAAATATTATTTGGTTAGACCAAAGAGCTGTCCAGCCTTCATTACGGGAATTCTTAGGATGCTGATCCAGAGTAAAGACTCCATCAAAATTGATGGTTGCTCTGTAGTAAAAGTTCTTAGCTGAAGGGTTGATTCATCTGCTGGTCAGAGAGTATTTTTTATCATTACCAAGCAATAAGTACAAGTAGCCTGACTCATTGAAGACCACCTTCTGACCAGAAGAATTAGAATCAGTAGTCATGGTGTCATAATAAGGATCATTAGCATTGTGATTTATGTTATTAACCACAAGATTCCCCTCCGGTCTTATGTGCATTCGAAACCTTCCCTTGGAGAAATTAGTCTCTGACAGTTCAGAAAAGGCAGCTTCCCACGTTCCAATGTCTGTGAAGGCAACATGGTGTTCGCAGGACACCTGAAGCTCTCCCATACCTTATCCGAACTGCAGTTGAAAAGCGTAAAGTTGCCTGTATTACTCCTAACAGCAAAAACAACAGTACCTCTAATGGGATCAGAATTCCATAATTCATCGCCTTGAGGGGTTCGCAGAACCAGCCCGCTAACAGAAGTTAGCTCTACTCTGGATCCTCTTGGTCCAGGCTTATCTCTATTTGCAAACCAAAGTATGGTTTTGGACGGTATCTTATCATACCATATAGAGAGCAAGAAGAGCTCGTTGTTTTTGCCAATAGGGCAGAAACCGAAGGCAAAATCTCCAGACGAAGAAAGCCATGAAGAGGAGTTTTCAGCTGCTTACAGAGAAGCTCCAATGGTTATGTTACCATTTGTTTGAGCAACAGCAGAAAATGGTTGGAGAAACAGAGAGGAAAAGATCAAAAGAAGATTAACAGCCATTGCAAGAGCAAAATTGAGTTAAGTTTGATAAATCAACAAAGCTTGGATTGAAAAACATAAAGTGAAGAAATTAGGCTAAAGCAAGAGAAATTATGAAAGTCTAAGTCATGTAAGTCTTCTTTGCTCTTCCAGAGTTGTTAATGGACCTCTTCCATAAAATATCAGGAAGTAAACAAAAAGGCTTATACAATACTTCTAGGTCTGGCATACAATGACTAGTAGCTACCAATGTTCCGAAAACTGGACCGGACTATGACCCATTCAAGGCTCCAGTTTCTGGTTTGACCGGTTGGATCGGTCGATTGGAACGTATTCTGTAAAATTACCTGTTAGTCCCTGAATGTTTGAAATTCATCAAAAACACCCCTATAATACTCCCTTAAGGTTTGAAATCTGTCCAAAGCACCCATGTCGCGCGAAGGGACTGGTGATGTTGGCGGCAGCGACGATCGACGGCCAATCGAGGTTTGGAATCATGGGGCTTTTGATGTATAGGTGCTGGCGAATCTAATGATGGTGCTAGGGAGTTCCATTGGCACCGAAACTCGCCAGAATCAACAAAAGAAGTCCGATGGTCGCATGAACTTTAGGTGGACGGCGAGCGACAACGGTGACTGAAAATGGCTGGGTTTTGTCGTGGAGATGCCGTCAAGTTTAATGATGGTGATTTCTCCGTCGAACGATGTCGGAATCCGGCGGGATTGAGCTGCGATTGGACCGCGATTTAGCACTATTCCGGCGGTCCAACCGCAGTCCAATCCGGTTTGAATGCAATTAACGGTTTTTAAAGGATTCCGGACCGGATATGCCGCGGGTTACCGGTCGAACTGGTCCAATCGGACGGTCCGGTCCGGTTTTCAGAACATTGGTAGCTACAATAGAATAGACTTTTCAAGTCTGAATAATGGGAAATTTTCCATGACAGTAGTAGTCCAACCAAGTAAATATTGTCCATTTTGTGTCCAAGCTTCCACGGGGTTGTTTTGAGCTTCGTGCAAGAGTCCTTCACCTAAAAATCGTCCACTTAGTTATGAAACTGAATTCCAGACTACTTTCTCTTTCTCAAACAATATGAAATGTGGTAATAGTGATTGTCAGATGACTTAAACTATCATACATTTTAATATAGTTGGCCANCACCATGGTGAGGAATTTGTCGATGTTCCTTCTTGTAAACAAGGAAAAAACAAAGACAAACTGAAGTAATCAGCATAAAGTTGAAGAAAACTGAGCCACCAAGAAGTACTGATCCCACAATCATCAAATTGTCTTTGTTCTTCTGATTCTTCTTATCTGGTCTCGGCAAATCCGAAGCGCCTCTGGGAGGAGGATTACCTTTCCTGATTTTGATAAGAGCCTTACTATTAGTACTTTCAGTTCTCCCATTTGATAGTGGTAGCTTCTTCTTCCAACACATCCCGTTTCCAAAAATAGCAACAGCACACATACAATCCTGCAAGCAAGATTCTCTACACTGCTCGTCAGTAAAAGGCTGCAACATTGCATAATCAGATGTTGGCCAATTAATGTCTATGACCTCTTCAAAATCATATAAATCTGCTGAAGAACCCTCTTCATCATCTGCACAGCTCTGCGTGTAGTTGGGTTTGCAGTCACCATACTCATTGTTTGGATCCGATAAAAAGTACCCTTTTGGGCATTCACAGGTAGGCCTTTCGTCTCCAGGGTTCAGTCTGCAAATGCTGTTAAACCCACAAGTGCCGCTACCAACTTCAGTAACCCTCGCCTTGCAAATATCATCCGGTATGGACAAAAGAACCGTCCAGCCTTCATTAATTGAATTCTTAGGATGCTGATACAGAGTAAAGACTCCATAAAAATTGATGGTCGCTCTGTAGTAAAAGTTTTTAGTAGGAGAGTTGATTGATCTGCTAGTTAGAGAGTATCTTTGATCATTACTAAGCAATAAGTAGAAGTAGCCTGACTCATTGAAGACCACCCTTTCAACAGAATAATTAGAAACAGTAGTTTCAGTGCTGTTATAATAAGGATCATTAGTATTGTCAGTGGGCAAGTTTATGGTATTAAGAACAAGATTCCCCTCTGGTCTCATGCGCATTTGAAACCTTCCCTTGGAGAAATTAGTCTCTGACAATTTAGAAGAAAGCAGCTCCCCTGATTCCAATGTCTGTGAAGGCAACATAGTATCTGCAGGATTCCTGAAGCTCTCCCATGCCTTATCCGAATTGCTGTCAAAAAGCTCAAAGTTGCCTGTATTATTCATAACAGCAAAAGCAACCGTACCTTTAATGGATTCAGAATTCCATAATTCATCGCCTTGAGGGCTTCGCAGAACCAGCCCGCTAGCAGAAGTTAATTCTACTCTGGATCCTCTTGGTGCAGGCTTATCTCTATTTGCAAACCAAACTACGGTTTTGGAAGGTATCTTATCATACCATATAGAGAGCAAGAAGAGCTCGTTGTTGTTGCCAATAGGGCGAAAACCGAAGGCAAACTCTTCGGACGGAGAAAGCCATGAAGATGAGTTTTCAGCTGCTGATAGAGACGCTCCAATGGTTATGTTACCATTATTTTGAGCAACAGCCGAAAATATTTGCAGAAAAAGAAAGGAAAAGATCAAAAGAAGATTAACAGCCATTGCAAGAGCAAAATAAAAAGCATGAGATTCAGATCACTTTAAATTATTCCGTATATTTGAACATAGTTGGTCATATTATCTAGAACAGGATCATTGGACGGTCCAGGTTTCTTGTTTGACTTGCAGGTTAGTGTCTGAATCTTGATCAACAAAATGACTCAAACGTCATAAAAGCATGGCGTGGAAATTTCAACATCATTGAAAATTGCAAAGATTTTAAAGAGATAAGAAAAAACTTTGGCTTCGTTTGGTTGCATTTTGGAATACTACTTTTAGTATTTCTAAAAAGTTAACAGTAAAATACCCAAAAACTCATAATATTATTTAACTTTTTTAAACCCCTTAATTTTGTTAATTTAATTAAATACCCCAAATATTTTTTAAAAATTGTAAAACACCCCAACATCCACATTTATCAGATTCCGACCATCACTATCGAAAAATGGCCGGATTCTGGTAGGATGGTACTACTTGCTGAATCTGTCGGTAGTGCACCCATCTAGCCTTTTTCGACCAAATTCACAGTGGATCTGGCTGGAAATGCCAGATCTAAGGCCAAGACTGACCGTGGCCATACCATCAGTAACGACGGCCCACAAATGTCGTCGTTGACCATCAACGACGACCGTTTGTTGGCCGTCGTTGACGACAAATACAGCCGATCTAGCTGTAGATCTGGCCTTTGGCAGCCAAATCATCATGGATCTGGCCGAAAAAGGCCATATCGGCTCACGACCGGCAAGATCCAGCCGTCATGTGCCGATACACTACCGACCACCTTTTGGGGTGGTGGCCGACTGTCCGTATTTGAGGGTGGGTTGGGGTGTTTTTTGTTAACTTTTAATGTTTTATTATAGGGATATTTTGTAAAAAACCAAACATAGGGGGTTTTAAAATTGTAAATCCTACATCGTAATAACGCCCAATCAACTTTTTTTAACTTTTTTCAAAAAACTTTTCCCAAAAACACAAAATTGAACCAAACGGAGCTTTGGTTTTTGAACACGTGCCAATCCAATAATGCACGTACCGTCCAAGTACTGTAGAGTAGCCCTCAAGCGAATTCTGACTTTTCAAAAAGAGATGAGAACAAATTCAAGTGACAAAGTGATCAGTGTGATACTAAAACATCCACCTCTGCAGGACCAAACATTTCCCACCCAAGGCCAGGCGAAGATATTTTTCCGCCCGAAATGTTTCAGAAGTCGTCGACGGCCTTGCAAGGTTGGATTGTGACCTTGCAAGGCCACTATTGTTAGAGTCCACTGTTGCGGCCACAATGCTTGCTAAGCAAGGCCACCATTACCAATCCCGAGAGCCCGTCCACACAAGCCAAACTTCATTTTTTCTCAACCCAATCAATCAGAAACAAACATCAAACAGTCCAAAATCAAAATTAAAAAAAAGCTTTGTTGATTGTTCTTCGCGGTCAAATGGGTTTGACTTGGTTTGGCCGAGTTTGACCACCACGCACTCCAACCCTACCAATCGTCGTGTTCTTCACAAGTCCCTAAATCCCCTCCTCCAATGCCTCCTCCTCTACCACCACCAAAGCCTTCACCTCCACCTACACCTCCAACAGCACCACAAACATTTTATTGACAATTTAGATGATCAGTGCCAGAATCGCAACCGACCTAGTGTAATCCGACCGAACTCCTAACCGCCCTAGTGCAATCCGGCCGGAATCGCACCTGACCAAGTGCAATCCGGCCGAAATCGCACCTGACCAAGTGCGATTCGGCCTTAGTTGCACTCTGGTATGTGTGATTTGGCCTTAATCGCATCCTACCAGGTGTGGCCGAACGGAGGAGAGAGGCGGTGGAGATCCTCGCCCTCTCCAGTGACCTCAATGATGTCTGCCTCCTTCGCAAAGCTGTCGCCGCCCAACAACAAACCTCCGCACGCTTCGCCGTCTCTTTCAAAATCTCCAACTTGTCCTTGTCAAATTCCAAGGGCTGTAAGGGCTGGGGGAGTGAGATTAGGTTAGATTGGGTGAGTTTAGGAACCGATGGTGTGGGGGGAAGGGGAGGTGGGGAGGCTGAAGGGAGGGAGACATGGAGGATTTTGGGGCGGTGTGGGGAAGAAAGATAAAACGGGTTAGGGAATTTTTTATATTTTTTTAATAAAAAATATAAAAAAACTAAAGTTACCATTATGTCCTTCTTCAATAAAAAGTTAACGGGCAAATATTAACGGTAGGTGGAAAATTGTTTTTTTAAACATTTCGGGTGAGAATACTTACGCCTTACCTTGGGTGTGAAATTGTCAATTCTCCCGTAGCACAGATAACATAAAGACATCACATGAAACATAGGCCTTGTAGGCCATGTTTGGATTATTATTTTTATCCATATTCTCAATCCTATTCTCCAAATAATGTTTGGCATATTATTCTAGAAATATTACTCTATTTTTAATTATTTTTAAACCCCATAAAGTTATTAATTTCATCAAATACACCCTGAAAAAAAAGTTTAAAAATTATCAAAAACACCCCCTTGACCCATACTTGCCAGATTCCGGCAACCACCATCGGTGGTAGCTGAAATTTGTACAACAGCTTACCTGCCGACCATAAATGGCCGGGAGTTCACCGATTTGGCCTTTTCCGGCCAAATCCATCACGGATCTGGCCAAAAAGGTCAGATCTAGCCGTGAACGACGGCCAAAGAAATGGTCGTCGTTGAGGTCAACGACGGCCAAATCTTGGCCATCGTTGACCGAAAACAATGGCCATATCTTTGGCCGTCGCTGACGGCCAAAGATGGTTGTCATTTTGGCCTTTTTCGGCCGTCGACGGCCATGGCACACCGTTGATCCACGGATCTGACCGGAAAAGGCTATAATGATGCGTTACGACACAGATCCGACCGGTCTATATCGTAACGTGATTTTTCGACTAGATTTCGGTGGTGGTGGCCAAAATCTGGCATTGCAAGCAGTGGGGGTATTTTTGTCATTTTATATGTTGGAGTATTTATTAAATTAGCAAACTTAGGGGGTTTTTTTATAAATTTTTAAATTTTACCTCGTAATACTCTCATATTCAATTATCCAATACTATTCCTAAAATCTTATCCAAAATAATAAACCAAACACACCCGTAATTACTAGTTATTATCCTTGCACAGAAGAAAATTCTACAAATATAATCATGTAAATGCCCTGTGATTTTCCAACTATGCAGTACACAAACAGCTGTAAAAGACAAGACTTATATCTATAGAGCGGCAATAGATGACAGAAAATGAGAGTGGGCTGCACTTCAAGTTTCATTCAATCACAATTGTGAGGTCCATTTCAATTAAAGATTTTCCATGTGGGACCTCATGGAAAATGAAAGGCACCAAGAAATGGGTAGAAACAAATCTAAGTTGAAAGACAAGAATCTTTACATGTAATTAATGAACACAGACTCCACATATACTTTAATTACTAGTTTTATGGTGTAATGTATGAAACATGAGTCAATAAAGGAGAGGTAATTAGTTAGGTTTTTCCCTAGTTGATTGTTTCAAATAGCCTTTTGAGGGCAATTATAGACAAACCCATCAGCCATCCTTAAATTTCATCGACGTCCAATGTTTTCAACAATTATAAAAAAATTCACTTTGAGATTATAAAAATAGAAATCCATCTACTATTCTTACATGGCTTTTACCAATCAACTCAACTCAACCCTTAGGTTACTTCGAACATTTACTAATGTAACCAAGAAACCATGAAAACGATCCCTTAATAGAATAGGGAGTAGTAACAAACAATATGTTATCAATGTTGATATAGAACAAAGCTAGCGTAACAGAAGAGTTTCGTTGGAAGCAAATGCTACCAAACAGGATATTTGCACTAGCGAAATAACCTTATGTTATTCCAGACACTAGAGTGTAGGGAAGAAACAAACACAAATTGTTTATTCAAATAAGGATTTCCTGATTACATACTCTTAGGGACTATTTATAATCATGACTCTAACTACTTGATAATAATAAAAGTTAAAATATTCATAAGCCAGCTGCTTGATAATGATAAAAAAAATGAAAATGATAATGTAGAATAAAATTTAAAATGAAAGAAAAGCTATCTCATGCCACGTTGGTGTTTATCAGCTGGTCTTTGCTTATCTCATGCTACGTTGGTGCTACTTATCTCCTGCTATGCGATCCCATGCTAAATCAAAAGCACATAAAATAAAAATGGTCAAGATCCTAGGNCTCCATCAACAAGTCCAATTTCCCTTTTTAAAGCACTCATATGCCCAGTCTGCAAGTACCCTTTTGACATTCTTCCTCTGCATTCACCTCAAAATTTCCTTCTTCAGTAAACAAGCAAGCTCTAGCAGCCAAATTATTTGGGATAATTTAACACCTATGAGGTTTCAGAAACTTACAATATCACCCCCAATTTTCAAGGGACGGTGGTTTAGTTTCTGAAATCTAGGGGTGTTAAAAAACCTAATAGTAATCTAACAATATTACCTCTAAACCACAAAGGAGGCGTTTGGTTGGCGGTAATGTAAGATAATAGGGGTTATGTCATCTTATATTACTTGATTATTACATTTGGTTGTCAAGTAATATAAGATTTCGATAATTTTCAAATACCAATAGTAGTTACTATTGATAATATTAGAGGTAATCTGATTACCTCCATTTTCTAAGGTATTCTAAGATTACCAGGATTATCTTTTTTTGTTACAATTGTATCCCTTATTAATAAAAGTTTTGGACAATAATGCCCTCATTTTAAAATAAATTTACATTAATATCCTATTTCAATTTTACCCTTGTTTAATTAAAATTTTGGACAATAACGTCCTTATATTTAAAACAATTTACAGACCACCACTACCACCCAACCACCACCACCACCACTGCCACCCAGCCACCACCGCCGACAGCGGGCCAACCACCACAGACCGTTGTCGAAAAGTCGTCGGAGTCCCTAAAAAAGAACGAGATTCGGTGGGAGGCTCCGGGAGACTTCGATATGGCCGT